CAACCGGATCCTAATTGTCTTTAATGCCACACTATAATGCTCATTTGGCATCTTCTGAAGCTGTTTATAGCAAACGCTGTGTTGATGGACTATGAGAGGATGGATTCACACTGTCTCTGCAAATCACACAACCGCACTTACTGTAGCACGATGCATTCATAAACATCTCTCTGTCGCCAACAATCAGGCCAAGTACATCACCATTATTTTTCAAGCATGATGCATGTCAACAGGAGGTGCAGAAATCATGTACATATGCACTGAGCATATGTACATGATTTCCATTAGGCTTGTGTCACTTATGTTTTGCATTGCATGCAAAGTTTGACCTTTCATTGTCTTGTTTACTACTATCATCCCACAAATGCATTGTTTTGTGTAATAACTCAATGTGATATATGAATAATACAAACATTATGAAACATTCTCTCCATTATTAAATACATACGGAGCAAACTGTGGCGGTAAGTAAATGTTTCTGTGGAAGAACCAATCATGTCCAGTCATGCAGTAATGCTCATAAAGATATTTATGCATTGTTGCTTGCTTCTCCTCTGTATTAAGATTTCAGAACATTAACTTCAAACAAGTCATTATATTTTAATAAACGAGCTAAATGAGGATATCTTGTTAGAGCGTGTACAGAGGCAGACGGATAATGATAAACTCACTAAAAACTGCTAATACAGGGAGAAGAAACATACCGTAAAGCAAAGAAATGATCACTTTCTCAAACCTGCACTATAAATATGTCTTTGTAATGTTTTGCAGTAAAAAAATAATGTAAAGAATGAAGAAATGAATGAATAAATACATAAATAAAACAGCATAGTAATTGGTTGCATTGCCATGTGTTGGGAAACATGAGTACATTGTAGAATACAATGTAATTTTACTGTAAAATGTGGTTAAAATGTTTTTTTATTTAAAAAAAAAAGAAAGAAATTTACATGCAAATATACATTTGTAAGATTTTAATTCATGATTTTTACCATCAGTACTTTGTTTTTTGAATTTGTAAATAAAACAAAGATCACTAGAGCATGTTTTAAATCATCTTTCTCAAACCTGCACTATAAATATGTCTTTGTAATGTTTAGCAGTAAAAAAATAATGTAAAGAATGAAGAAATTAATGAATAAATACATAAATAAAACAGCATAGTAATTGGTTGCATTGCCATGTGTTGGGAAACATGAGTACATTGTAGAATACAATGTAATTTTACTGTAAAATGTGGTTAAAATGTTTTTTTATTTAAAAAAAAAAGAAAGAAATTTACATGCAAATATACATTTGTAAGATTTTAATTCATGATTTTTACCATCAGTACTTTGTTTTTTGAATTTGTAAATAAAACAAAGATCACTAGAGCATGTTTTAAATCATTCATATACTATATATATATATATATATATATATTAT